TGGAGTGAATAAGAATTGTGACTATTTTGACTATCGCAAAAAAAGAGTATTTTAGAATGAGAACTTAGTTTTTTAGATAATAAACTTTCAAACGGTGTTTGGCAATATAAAAGTAATATATATAGGTCAATAGTTTGCATCAGATAAATGAAAATTTTTACCTATAAGTGTGGAGTTTGTTTGTTTAATAAGAGCATTATAATATACATTGTTTAATGATATATTAATATCAATTTGATTATAAGCTAAACGGTTAAGTAATTTACTGGTAACTTATAGTTTATTAAAGTTATTATAGTCTAATCTACTTTTAGTTTTATATAGTTAACAAAGATGTGAAAAGATTATATAGTTTTTATTATTACTCATTTTTTGTAATCTAATTGCGMTATTTTTTTTATTTTTTTTTCATGACAATCTTTAATTCTTTTTGTTAATGCAATTTTTGAATTTTAATGAGAAAGTAGTTTGTGTGGGAGTATAAGATTAAAATAGAAAATTCTAAACACTAATTAATACATTTTAAATAATGAATTGATTGTAGGTAATACAATTCAGGTATGTAGCATACAAAACTAGTAAGTCATTATACTATTAAAAATTAAAGTTATTATTACTTTAAATAATATACACATCACTACCTTTTTTTGTTTTCTTTATATTTCCATTGGATGCAATCAAATCGCCCAATGCTCCGACTGTGTAATCATCAAACATGATATATCTGTAAAATTAAAACGTGTACTTGATTAAGTACCACAGCAACAGCAAACAAATTATTTCATTTGTGGTCAGTAAAAGTAAGTAATCAATTTTTAGTTCTGAACATCGAAAAAAAATTTTAAAATCAAATGTTTAAGATATTGAGGAGTACTTACAATTAATACAGGATCGTGATTGAAATAAAATAATTTCAGACGAAATTGTTACTTGATAGAATTATTGTTCAAAACAAATACTTATTAATGGCTGGGTAACACTCGTTCTAATTTCGAACAGGCAATTCGAAACAACAGTCTACAAATGAGTAAATGGCGGAATACAGAATTAAGACATTATTTTAAATTTAAATATTATTATATTATTATCAATTTGTATTTTCACGTGTTTGTAGCGTTTTTAAAAATATGAAAATTGTTATCATGATTATAATATTGTTATTTGCGTTATCAGCATAAACAATTATCAACACGAAGTTCGTATCACGATCACGATTATAATAAACGATTCATGGTTATTATGCAATTATATACATTAAAATCTGGCAATACTATTAACAATTTAATTATTGTTATAGCATGATCACGAAGATTAACAAGTTTAAAATTAGAATATTAAATATAATAAATCTATAGTTGTAATATATAATTATTCTGTAAGGTGTTCCTTAATTTTTGATTTTAAAAAATGTTTGATCTCACCCCTAAATGTGTGCGTATT